GATAGATAGATAGATAGATATGAACTGACAGAAATAGACAGATATATATTAACAGAGACAAATAAATATACATGAACAGACTGAAATATAGATATATATTAAGAACTCTGGAGACCCCTCTGACCCCTCTAATTACCGTCCTATTAGTCTCCTACCCCTCTTCGGCAAAGTCTTCGAAGCCCTAATCAATTCCGAAGTGGTTAATCACCTTACATCTCATAATCTGCTCTCAGACAAGCAATATAGTTTCTGCTACGCCCGATCTACAGCTGATGTGCTTACGGCCATCACTGAAACAGTCTACCAAGCCCTTCAAAATAACGGTGAGGCTTGTGCCGTGGCCCTCGACATCTCCAAAGCATTCGATAGGGTTTGGCACGCCGGCCTTCTTCGTAAGCTCCAGGGGTATGGTGTTACTGGTCAACTGTTTGATCTAATACAATCATTCCTGTCAAACCGAGAATTGAAGGTCGTTCTCAACGAATTCTCCTCCAGTTCCTATCCCACGGACACAGATGTTCCCCAAGGCTCCATCCTTGGCCCCACTCTTTTCCTTATTTTCATCAATGTCCTTCCTGACGCTATAGATTCCCAAGTTGGCATCTACGCAGACGACACTACAATTTACTCCTGCCTCAAAAACAAGTGTCGGCGACAAAACTAACCTGGCCGTGCGTCTTGAAATGGACCTCCAATCGGTTGTTAACTGGGGCAAGAATTGGCTGGTCAACTTTAACGCCACAAAAACTAAACTACTCTCCATTAACCACCATAGAGATCCTTCCCTACCCCCCATTAAAATGTCTGATAATCAACTTCCTGAGAGCAACTCCCTGCGTCTGCTCGGTCTCACGCTGACTGCTGACCTGAGATGGAACAAATACAGTGAGTCAATTGCTTCTTCCACCGCGAGGAAAGTTGGCCCTCTGTGCCGCGCCAGGAACTTTTTCTCCCCTGAATCGATACTCCAAATATACAAAACAACCATTCGCCCTTGCATGGAGTATTGCTGCCATATATGGGCTGGGGCACCTTCTGCTTACCTCGGAGTTCTTGACAAGATCCAGAGACGGATATGTAATCTAATTGGCCCTGATCTAGCGTCTCGTCTGCAGTCACTCTCTCACAGACGCGCCGTCGCCTCTCTCTGTCTTTTCTACAAATACTTCCATGGTAACTGCTCTGACGAGCTGCTTTCTCTGGTTCCCAGACTCCATGAATTCAAGTGCCCTGCGAGGCTGGCATCCCGCTCCCACCCTTACACTGTAGAAACTTTTAAATGTAGCCGTCTCTTCTACTCCAATAGCTTCATACCTCGCACCTCTTGCCAGTGGAACACCCTCCCCAGTTACTGTTTCCCTGAAAGCTATAATCTCCAACTATTCAAATGTAATGTCAATCGACATCTCCAGTTACCTTGATCTATCCACTATCCCGCTCCTCATCCTTTCTTCTATCACTCCTATCTGCTCTTGCTCCAAATCTTCCGCAACCCCCTGCATCCTAGTGGCTTCACGCCTTGCTTGGGGCGTAATGCTTTAAAAAAAAAGTTAAAACATATCGATAGATAGATATCAAAAGAGAAAAAATAGATATATATTAACAGATAGATAGATAGATAGATAGATAGATAGATAGATAGATAGATAGATAGATAGATATGAACGTAAAAATAAAAAAGTTATAGATAGATAGCCAGATAGATACATAACAGACTGAGAAAGATAGAGAGATAGATATGAACAGACAGAAATAGACAGATATATATTAAGAGAAATAGATATGAAGAAGCTGAAATAGATACTTTTTAATAGAGATAAATAAATAGACAGACACTCAGGTAGATAGATATGAACGTAAAAATAAGAAGTTATAGATAGCCATAAACAAACTGAGATAGATAGATAGATAGATAGATAGATAGATAGATAGATAGATAGATAGATAATGAAGAGACTGAGATAGATAGATAGATAGATAGATAGATAGATAGATAGATAGATAGATAGATAATAATGTAGAGACTGAGATAGATAGATGAATAGATAGATAGATGATGATAGATAGATAGATGAATAATGGATGGATGGATGATAATGTGAGACTGAGATGGATGGATGGATAGATAGATGGATAGATGGATAGATGGATGGATAATGTAGAGACTGGGATGGATGGATAGATGGATAGATAGATAGATAGATGGATGGATGGATGGATGGATGGATAATGTAGAGACTGGGATAGATGGATGGATGGATAGATGGATGGATAGATAGATGGATGGATAGATAATGTAGAGACTGGGATGGATGGATAGATGGATGGATAGATAGATAGATAGATAGATAGATAGATAGATAGATATTTTCTGAAAAATTACCTATGCTTTCAATAATGTAATGATATTCATATCTGGTTTTATTTGTTTTCACAATAACATTCTCAAAATGACGCATTAATATTTTCTTTAGATAGATAGATAGATAGATAGATAGATATTTTCTGAAAAATTACCTATGCTTTCAATAATGTAATGATATTCATATCTGGTTTTATTTGTTTTCACAATAACATTCTCAAAATGACGCATTAATATTTTCTTTAGATAGATAGATAGATAGATAGATAGATAGATAGATAGATATTTTCTGAAAAATTACCTATGCTTTCAATAATGTAATGATATTCATATCTGGTTTTATTTGTTTTCACAATAACATTCTCAAAATGACGCATTAATATTTTCTTTCTTTTTTTAAGTTGTGCGTTTTCGAAGGCTTTGTGCAAAAATCCTGATCTGAAAGAAAAGTATAATGGACCCTGTGTTATTTCGACCGAACCCTTGACTACCACTCTAGGATCGACCCCAGAACAGCTTACTACAACACGGCGACCCACAACAGAATTAGAATCCGAAGTAACGACCATCACAAAAGCAACAATACTTGAACATGTGACGCAAGTACCAACAACACAAATTTCTCGCGTCCCCACTACGAATGACCCCACAACAAAAGATTCTAACCATGAACTGACCCCTCAGAAATCAGTATCTGAAAATTCGAATCAAGAGTTGACCACTCAGGTGCCCACAAGGAAAAATTCGACCCAAGGCTTGATCTCACAGGATCCTGCAACTGATGTTTTAAACACTGTGTCAGCCTCTCAGAAATCAGTATCCTTTGATTCGAGCCAAGGGTTGATCTCTAAGGAACCGGTAACCAAAGATTCAAAGCAGTGGCAAACCTCTCAAGAACACGCTACAGAAAGTTCAAACCAGAGGCCGATCACGGAAGACCCCGTAACTGACGACTCAAGCCAGTTGATGAGCCATTGGGAAAAGGTAACCACAGAATTGAATCAATGGTTAACCACGCAAGAAACCACAATAGAAAATTCAAACCCGGTGTCAACCTCTCGGGAAATAGTGACTGATGACTCAGACCAGTGGTCGACCCATCTGGAAAGCTTAACTAAAGACACGAATCAGGATTTAAGCACGCAAGAAACCACAATAGAAAATTCAAACCCGGTGTCAACCTCTCGGGAAATCGTGACTGATGACTCAGACCAGTGGTCGACCCATCTGGAAAGCTTAACTAAAGACACGAATCAGGATTTAAGCACGCAAGAAACCACAATAGAAAATTCAAACCCGGTGTCAACCTCTCGGGAAATAGTGACTGATGACTCAGACCAGTGGTCGACCCATCTGGAAAGCTTAACTAAAGACACGAATCAGGATTTAAGCACGCAAGAAACCACAATAGAAAATTCAAACCCGGTGTCAACCTCTCGGGAAATCGTGACTGATGACTCAGACCAGTGGTCGACCCATCTGGAAAGCGTAACTAAAGACACGAATCAGGTTTAAGCACGCAAGAAAACCACAATAGAAAAATTCAAACCCGGTGTCAACCTCTCGGGAAATCGTGACTGATGACTCAGACCAGTGGTCGACTCCTCTCGAAGTCGTAACTAAAGACACGAATCAGGATTTAACCACGCAAGAAACCACAATAGAAAATTCAAACCCGGTGTCAACCTCTCGGGAAATCGTGACTGATGACTCAGACCAGTGGTCGACCCATCTGGAAAGCGTAACTAAAGACACGAATCAGGATTTAAGCACGCAAGAAACCACAATAGAAAATTCAAGCCCGGTGTCAACCTCTCGGGAAATCGTGACTGATGACTCAGACCAGTGGTCGACCCATCTGGAAAGCGTAACTAAAGACACGAATCAGGATTTAAGCACGCAAGAAACCACAATAGAAAATTCAAACCCGGTGTCAACCTCTCGGGAAATCGTGACTGATGACTCAGACCAGTGGTCGACTCCTCTCGAAGTCGTAACTAAAGACACGAATCAGGATTTAACCACACAAGAAACCACAATAGAAAATTCAAACCAGGGGTTAATTTCGCAGGTGACTGATGCTTCAAACTTTGTGTCGACCTCACAGAAACTAGTAACTGATGATTCAAATCTAGGAGTGACCAGCCAGGAACCCACCAGAGAAAATTCAAATCAGTGTTTGATCTCGCAGAAACCTGTGACAAAAGATAAGTTTACAAAATCGTCCTCAACTGACGATCAAATAACAGTGAAATCTGTTAACGTGACAATAAAAGCAGAGGTAAATATAACAGCAAATATTATAGTTACGGAAGAGCCAGCGATAAACCGCCCGACAACGACAGAAGGCGCTGTCATATCGACAAGAGAAATCTTAACGACTGAAAACCCTTTCAGTGTTTCAACTCCAGATGAAGAAGTGTCCACACCTGCTACACCTGATGAAACAACAAAAAACATGCCCGCCATTACAACTAGCGCTGTACGAATTTCAACCTTGAGTTGAATTAGTAAAAAAATGGAAAACAAAAAATTGATTTCAGGACAAATTTTAAATTAAAAACCCCCTCAATTTTCAAAGCAATCTAATATAAACTTCACTCAATTGTAGCCAACAATAAGTTGATTGTTTAACAGTCATTTAACTTGATAATTGAGTCCACCCATATAATGAAAACACAAGTAAATATCAAAAAATGGCAATTTTTACTGGTTTCTTTCTTATTTTTCACTGCTCTTTCAACTAATTTTCATCAAACTTAACAATTGCTTTATAAATCTATCCTCTTTTATATCCCTGGTAGCACACTGACAAAGTGAATTTCAAAAACTCCAAAATAATTCTGGTCTGAAGTGGGTCTTCATGTTGCCTGTTTTACCCCTTCATGTCCTCAACTAACTGCGATTGAATAAATAAACTACTTTTGTTATATCAGTAACTGTATTAATTCAAAATGTTTTTTTAATAAAAGTACTTTAAAGTAATTGAAGAAGATAGACTCTGTTACATCTAAACATGATGCTGTTTTTGAACTATTCTAATTGAATGCTTTTTCTGATTGACTAGCTGGCCATGGTTGTTTAGTTTGTAATAATCTTAAATAGTAGATATTTTTTATTAGGAATCCTCTAGCATATAACTGAATTTTAACAAGGCAGATGTAAATTCTTTCTATATAAACATTAATAACAAAATTAAAATAAATGCTTTTAAACATCAATCAAGTTCTTTGTTGTTTTCGATCAGAAGAAAACTTCTTCAGGAACAGTTACAGGTCATATTTAGTAAAAAACAAAAAAATATGTTATCAGAAGTTATAAAAGTCTTCATTAGCTTTTTTTTTTTTAAATATCAAAAATTTACAAAATTAAAACATAAAAAAATTCAGCTCTCATGCCTTCACACACAAGCATCCCTTGAATGAAATTAGACTGAAAAATATGAGAGCACAAGATGCATTCCAGATGTTTTGAGCCTTTTTTATTAGGAGAGTCAGTTAGAACTGTCCGAGATTATTGTCATTTTAGTGTATCGTCACTATAGCTCTAATAAGCTGACCTGCCAACTTTTGTTATTCCAGATTGGAGGCAACAACTGTAACAGCTCTTTGAACACACCCTACTAAACACTGCTTGTGAGAGCTGATGAGTTTACAGAATGCAGTCGGGTCGTGAAGAGAATTTGAAAGCTTGCTATGCAATAAAATTTTTTGTTTAACTGGTCAAAAATTCTACAGAAACTTATAAAACAACCCAGACTGGTTAGGGATTAGGGTGTATGAGAACTAAGCACCTGTTTTTTGATGACACAAGAGGTTTGATGCTGACAGACAGCAGATGAGAGCCAATGAGAGATGTGGGAGGGAGACAGACTGAAGAACATCAGAACTCGTTGAGAAAATTCACAATTTTCTGGATGCACACTGTCGTGTGTCTATAATGTTCGACTATCACTTGGTTTAAAATTCTTCTTTGTCAGTCGCTGCTTTTGAAATGTTATAAAATGATAATGAGGGATGGATATGTAAAAATAAGGAAATTCATCAATAACCATTACTGAATGTAAATTTGATATATCATATTTTTAGCAAGATTGTATAAATTTATATATGGAGTCTCCATTAGACAATAACATCATTTTCTTTTTGCTTTCCTGGTGTGTTAATGATATTTCTACTTTGAATTTTTACCTTATCGAAATGAACATCTCACTGTGACTGTTAAAATGTCGACTTCATGGTATTCTCATGAGAGACAATTACAACTGTCCAAGATTATTGTAATTTTAGCATATCATCCCTATAGCTCTAATAAGCTGACCTGCCAACTTTTCTTATTTCACATTGAAAGAGACGGCTGTAACAGCTCTTTGAACACATCCTACTAAACACTGCTTGCAAGAGCTGACGAGTTTGCAGAATTGTCTTTCAATCAATTCACCCCAAACATGGGGATAATTCCACTAAGATGCAAGGGGTTACTGGGAGTGAAAGAGAATGAAAAAACCTTAGAAGGAACCAGAAACCCAATCCTAAACAGGAAACAAGGGATAAAGTTCTAATCCTGTTCAAAAGTCCAGGGAAGAGTGTGAACTGGACAGTAGAACCTATCTACTCCTATTGAGAAAAGAAAAACCAAAAGCAAATAGTAAATAAAATTTCAGAATTTAGGTAGAGACAGCAGTATAGAATTGAAGTAGACTTTAGAAGGAAACCCAATCCTAAACAAGAAAAAGGGACAGACTTCTATTCCTGTTCAAAAGACCAGGGAGGAGTATGAACCAGACGATAGGTGAACCTATTTACTTCTATTAAATGCAATAGGGAAGTGAAGACAATTTGGAACATTACTATGCAATAAACTTTTGCACTGACCAAAATAGGCATCAAAACTAACCCTCACGCTCCCTGCAGTGCAGGCCTTGCTCCCTTTGATTTTTGGTTGTTCCCCAAGCTGAACCTCAGGAAAAGTCATTTTGAAGACATTGAGAAGATGAAGGAGACTGTAACAAGTGTTCTGGACAGCTTCACTTTGGATGACTTGCATGGGGCCTTCACAAAGAGGCTGGATTGCTACAACAAGTGCATTGAAGACAGAATATCCTTCTTTGAAATTAATAAATGTCTCCCTAGAAAAGTCTCAAAACTTCCAGAATGCATTTTGTATATTATTTATAGATGTAGGCTATAATGAAAGATACAATACTTACATGCTTCAGTTGCTCCCCTAAGGTCTTTATTGCAAGTGAAAGATTATCAGCAGTATAAGAATAATTCATAAACTGAATCCAATTCATAGATTTTGGTGGGAGTTCGTTTTGTTGTTCTTTGATTGCAGCATTTTCTGAATTAACTGTAACAAAAAGAAAAGAAAATAGATGGATCTGTCTATATTTCTGAGATGAGGTATTGTAACTATTTACACTGTTCCGACTATTGCATCATCTTTATTATCATATTTGCAATGCTCCAGCCTTCTTCAGGTGATATTGCAATTTTGGACTGAATCCTTTTATTTCGTCCATGGAGTTAGATTGTTCTAGTTCCACGTGTCATGCCTTTTCTGGATATCTCAGTTTCAGTTAATTCCCTTTAGTAACTCAAAAGTTTTCTTCCCTCTGCTGTGGCCAGGTATTGAACTCACAACTCTTTGGGTCAAGTCACTGGATTTTTTTTCAACCAACGCTTTTATCCACTGGGCCATGAGAAGTACTTTTTTTGTGATTCTGTGACTTTTGAGACTCAAACAAGAAAGGTCATCTTTAAGGCTTACATGGTTTAATCATTGATTTGAGAAAATGGTTGTATATGGCTAACAGAGATTTCTGAATGGGTTGACACCATGCATGGTATCCATATAAAAGCCTTGATCTGAGGAGGTATTTTAAGAACATAATTCAAAAGAACTGTCTGTAGAGCAATCATCTTGATATCACACTTGTGTTAAAGGGCAATCATGAATGAGTCCTCATAGACATTGCTGTACCTTTGAATAAGAACATTGTAAAGGTAGAGCAGGTGAAAATATAGTGTTATCAAGACCTGGCATGGCATATTAGAGAAATGTACCAAGCAGCAACTCAAGATGTCCCATTTGTGGTTGATGCACTCAGGACTAATCTCATGAGATTCATGGAATCTTCCTCTGCAACATTAATAGGAATATACATGTAGCAGCACTGCTGGAAAAACCTTATATGCTGAGGAAGGTGCTGTGTCTCTAAACTGTGGGTAGGCACTGATATATGACAATCATCAAAGATCTGGCTGAGACATTTAACTGTCAGAGAAAATATCAAATCAATAATAACAGAATCATAGATTATCTTGAGATTTTTAATACAATCTAATATATAGTAAAATAATAATAATAATAATAATAATATATATATATATATATATATATATATATATATATATATATATATATATATATATATAGGCAAAAATTCATGGGTAAGTAATCCAAGTTAATCCTAATAATATAAAATATTAAAACTGATCCACAAAAGAGAACACAATATATTTATCTGTATAATTTATTATAAATTAATCTATAATTATTCTTTTAGGTATCTCCATGAGATTGCTGAAAAGAGCATAGCATGAATAAACAGGACCTTAAACTTGATAAAAATAATTTTTAAATCTTTAAATATGTAGCAAGAGCACCAGACCCTATGTGGCAGCAATACTCAAAGCATGGACGAATGGTAAACTTATAAAGTCACTCTCTTGGAGGTTAGCATCAGCTATGCTGATGGAAAGCAGAAAGCGGTCTCACAGATGATTAATAGAGAGCAGTTTCATTTGAAGGTGTTAAAATTAACAAGTCATTCATTGCCTCAGTTAACAGCAGATTTTAAATCATTTTTGTATGCAATAATAATATCATGGAGACACTGACAATATTTCCATGTCTAAAAATAATAAAATTATTTTTTATCCTCCCTAATATATAACAATAATAATATTACTTATACAGTGGAGTCATAGTCATTAGATGTGTATATGAAGTAAGATTTGGAGTTATGATAGTGTAACAATATGATTTCTCACACATCTTTAAAAGATAAGTAGATAAATTCCTCCTTTTTAAGTTCACTCAGGAATTTTGTCTACAGTTATCCTTGAGGCACTTAATTGCCGATGTTTTCAGGATTCATGTCTCCAGTCCACCTTTGAATTGACAAACATAAAATTTTGTCAATGATTTTAGATAGTCTTAAAAGTAGTCTTTTGAAGATTTAACTACCCGTATGGATTTGGGGTGGTCTAAAATCTTCTGGAACACAAGTGGATGACTGCGGGATGGGACCCCATTCATTATCCATATAAGCACAGTGAGGGACCAGCAGT